ATATTAATACACATATACATTAAATATAACTTCGGCCTTCTGACTACGGGTTCATGTAAGACGCTCCCTGTGGCACGCTGAACGACAGCTGGTGAAGAGTCGGAGCATTTAAAGGAGAACACGTCAGATGTGGTGCTTCAGCTGTAACTCAACGTGAGCGCTGACGTCTGAGGACAGAACCAGGCCTCCGTGTGCGATACGTACATCGTTCTCTGAGGTTCCACACAGGCTGCAGGACTTGCACTCGATGCACTGCCACTGGTACGTCGTCACCGCCTGCATCATGTTCTCGGTGAACTGCAGACACGTGGGGTGGCCTGTGGAGGGACGGAGACGAGAAGAAAACAGAGTTTACCAACGGGAAGTCAATGTTAAGAAGAATTTAAAGTCCTTTTTTTAATTTTGTTGATAAAAATTTGACATGAAAAGGATATTTTAATATTATTTAAGGAAATGTGTTTGCTTGAATGATTGAAAAGAATTTTTTAACTAACATTTCAGCCTTTATCCACACTGCCATGTCTTTATCGGTGCTAACTGAGTTTGTGGAGGTGGAAGCTGTAGACAAGTATAAGTATAAATACCACAGTGTAGAAATACTCCAGTACTACTGCACCAAAAGTAAAAGTACTCGTGTAAAATGTTGTATTCTAGATGATTAGATACTGATGCATTATTGTGTTGAATGCTGGTGAAGCTTAATAACTTTATTTACTCTTGTTTGTAGTTTGTGATTTAATAAAAATAGATTGTCATTTATTTGCTTATTTGATTTTGTGGTGTTAATTTGAACATGCAAAGTAACTGAGGTTGTCAAATAAATGTCTTGGAGTCAAAAGTACAGGTGTAAAGTCGAAGCAAATGTAAATATTCAAGTTAAAGTCCAAGTGGCTGAAAACTGAAGGTCGGTACAAAGTGAATCCACTTCACACAGCTGTGTGTGTTTTTATAATTCAGACAACTGTTTTTGCAGCCACAGTGTTAAAAAAAATACACACATCTGGATGACATTTTGCAACACAAGCACAGAAAAACACAACCGAGACATTTTTTATCATCTTCCCATAAATCTGCACCAAAAGCAACACATTTGGTTCTCGTTAAACTCGTCCTCTCGTCTCCGTGCTGCAGCAGCGTCTTACGAGCACAGCGATCTGTTCAGTCGGATCAATGGGGTGTCGATGAGCCGTCATAAAACTGATTCATATCTGGACAGGGAGAGCTGCCGGAAACGCTGATCTCTATCAGCCTGCGATGGATGAACACCAGCAAACCTGAGCTGCTGCTGCTGCCTGTTTCCCAAATCAAAGTAAAAACTGGCAGCTTAAAGAGCCCACATTCTGCACATTTACAGGTTTTTAATTTTATTTTTTTGTGATCTTTTATGGTCAAAAACACATTCTGTTCCTCATTCTGTGCATTGCTGCTGCTCCATTCCTGTCTGAAATGCTCTGTTTTAGCTCCTGTCCCTTTAAAGCCCCCCCACCCCCACCCCAAAGCCTGCTCTGATTGGTCACCTGGTCCGACCAAAGCCAGGTAACGTCAGTCAGTAACGTCGGACAAGAGATGGAGTCGTAGCAGAAGGCAGTGAGGAAATATTGGCAAACTGTGAGGCAGCTGCTCACTGTGTCACTTGATGATGTCAGCAAGTAACAGAAGTAAAGCCTGGATTCCAAACGAGGCGTTTCAGGCAGCGAGCGAGCAGCGCTTCCTGTTTCGTAAGCTTGCAGACCTTTAACCTGCACAAAGAAGCAGCTACATAACAATTTGAAGGAAAGGAGGAACCAAAAGAGCAGAATATGGACCAGTTAAGGATGAGCGTCTCATCTGAGCTCTACTGATAAACATGAGGCTGTATTCCTGACAGACAGAGAGGAGCGATGGAGTGGCGATTGGCTCTTACCTCTCGGCCAATGGAGCGACTCCACGTCCATCCCTGCCCCTGCCATGTGTTTAATTAGTTTTTTATTCCTCATTCTTTGGTCCACCGTGCTATCGACCTTGTTAGTCCGGAGATAATTAGGAAGCGGCGGCCATGTTTAGTCTGTGGTCTTGATTATCTGACGCAAGCCAAATGTAGGGAGGAGTTTAATTTAGTTTATGAAAAATGAAAAATGTCCATGAGCATGATAAAAAAAAACAAATGGCACTGTGTCCAGGAGAGAAGAAGCTGACTTTGGATATACGTCTTCCAAGAGGTAAAAAATAATCCAGTGAGTGTCTTCAGAAGGCGAGGCCCTGCAGTCCTTTAAAGTATTTCCTTCAATAAAAACGAGGTCCAACTGGTCAAGACGTCCCGTTATCAGCTGTCGGCATCACCGTCTGAGAACAAAATCGCTTCCTCGTCTTCAAAGCCATGAAAGGTGGAGGCGTCACTGTCCGACGCGCCGCCGAACAATTCTTCGAGAGCGCTCGGCCTCCTCCCATCCTTCTTCGCTCCTCCTCTTCCAGCTACCATGAAAACATCAGCGTCAGAGCAACACACACAAGGAGCTGTTCTAACACACTCTCAGACATTCTGCTGTCTCACTGCAGATGATTCGAGAAAAGCTTGTGCGGCTTTGGCTAGTGTGGAGAAAAAAAAGGGAAGAGGAATAACAAAAAAATAAAAATAAAAAGCAGCCAGATGTGCCATAAGGTGATGCATGAAAACGGAGCAACAGAAGAGTGAAGGCATGTCGTCTGGAGGCAGAAGTCCTGCCTGATGGACGAGGCTGACATGGACGAGCATGCAGGATGGAAGCAAGCAGCCAATTCTAGGATTTTACTGCATTTTCACATGAAATAATGCAAAGATTTCCAGCTGTTTCTTAGTTTTTATGCTGTGAAAGGCTCATTGACAACCCATTGAAGCAACACGGAAAACCCAAATCGCTGCAAACCTTAAACATCTGCATCCTATCAGCTGAAGACACGCGAGCATCACTGTGGAGGTCAAACTAAACTTTAACGGTGTACGTATTCCCAAAAGAGATCGCAAGAAAGCGAAGAACACACATGAACAGGGTCGTGGACAAAAAGGAAGGAAAGTAAAATGAGATGCGCAGCAGACACGACGTAGAGGATGAGTCTAGCAGACGACACGCCATCTGAGTAGTTTAAGGTCTGACATGTAGAGATTGAACGATGAAGGTTGGTCAAACTCTAACGACCACTACAGGGTGCACTGGATCACGAAAGTCACGGTTCGGACTGTATTTTGGCTTTCTGGTGACGGATTGGACAAAGAACACGGCTGTCACTGTTCACTGCTTTTAATTTGTCCCATTAATGTGACAAAGAGCTGCTCTATACCCAGATTTAGGGAGTTATTTCTCACAGAGGCAAATGTATGTTTTTAGGGCCATTTGTTGGTCTGTGAGCAACATTACGCAGAAATCACCAGCGAGGAATTCATGAAACTTGGTGCAAATGGTGCGTTTACTGTGAAATTGTGAAGTCGGGCGTTGGCCTTGACACAGGACAGCGCTCTCCTCGTGCTATTCTAGTTATTTCATTTAATTTTCACGCTACGATGGTCGACATCTACAGCCCATTACACAGCTAGTAGCTGCAGGACAGTTAGCTTGAACGGCTCTTTCCAAGAAACTATTACCTGCATCTACAGAGCTCACATCGTGTTTGTTTGATGCGTACAGAAACCACACTGACAACAAAAACATCGCTGCAAAAAGCAAAGGTCGTCTTTGACTGGAACCAGGCTTTCCACTGCTACCAGTCTTTGTGCTAAGCTACGCCTCTGGTGTATAAAAGATGGATGTAGCCTCCAGGTCTGAAAAGTGAAACCAGCGCAGAAGTGTCTCCAACCTGCCTTCTCTCCAACAGCCAGCAGGGGGAGACTCCCTCTGGTGTGGTTGTATTGTAGCATTAGCCTGCTTCTCATTTGATTTGTGAGCTCAGTAAACGTCTTCCTAATAAGTTTATGGTCTCATGTAGAGGAAAATACACGATAAAGGAGACTATGCTTAAATCAGAGTCGTTAATACATCAAAGATGGTGACGGCCACATTCCAAACTCGAGGCTTCAGAACATCCACAAAGCAGCAGGTGGTTACGTCCATCTTCTATACACAGGCTGCAGGTTGGTCTGACCATCAGGTTAGCTCATCCTAGCTTTATAGCTCCTATTCAGGCATTCAGTATGAACTAACGAGTCTTTTAATGAGAGGACGTCTTTCTGACGTGCAACCAACGTTTCCTATAAGCTGATTAGAATGAGGCTGTTCTATCAGTGCCGACGGTTAACAAACAAAAATGCTTTAACTTGAACTCACCAGAACGTCCACAGTCGGAGCAGGACACCAGCTCCTCGGCCTGGCCCGTCTTCCTGTTGGAGTCCTGGTCCCCGAGGCAGAAGTCACAGTAGTCGTTGGGGATGATGGAGCCGTCGGGGCCCTTCTGAGCTGTCAGCAGGAAGAGGCATTCGTAAGGACAAAGGACGCGCCAGCCACCGTTCATTTTCAGACACTCTTCCGCTCACCGGCGTCTTACGTTTGTGGTTGTCGGTACTCTGCGGGGAAGACGGAGTGGTGTCGGCCTCCTTCTCCTCCTCGCCCTCCTCCTCGGCCAGGTGGGTGTGGGTGTAGTGGTAGCTCAGGCCGGGCCGGTTCTTGTAGCGCTTTCCACAGACTACAGAGGAAACATCAGAGCTCCATGAGAAACAGGAGAAAGCCTCGCAGACGGCGGGACGTAGGGAAAGAGATCACTACTGCTCTACATGTTTAATGCTGAGAAATGTTTTACATGTATGTTAAATAAAATATAACTAAAGGCATACGACAGGCAACACAGACAGTAGAACATGTAAATGATGTAAAAATCCAGACGTACTGACAGGGATTACACAAGCAGGTCTAATGAAAGGACTAATAGGTACACGGGTGGGTAAAGGCACAATATCTACCTACAGCTGCTTTCAGATACTAAAAGTGGATTTTTAAAGTCCGTGTAAAGGAAATTTAGAGATTTATTTCTCTATATTTCGGAAAATAACTGCTGAAAACATGTAAAAAGACAAAACGATGTCGTGGTAAACTGTGAGTTGAACTGTTTTTTAAAATAATTTTTGACTTTGGGATCTTTTGGGGAACTCGTGGATCGATGACACACTGAAGTCGTACCTTGCATCCCCCCTAGCGCTGGAAAAATTCTAGCACATCAGCATCAGTGGTTCTCCTGCTCGAATGCGATTTACTACAGCATACAGTTTGATAGCTAACTGTGCAAATGCATCTCCTTTATTTTAGTTTCCTCAGAATAACATGAAAGTTAGGTGGATTGGTTCTGTAAGGAGCCACGTTGACGTAGAGCTGAGGACCAAACCGACACCTGCCAATGCAGCGATCCAGGTCATAATAATCCATAAATGTTTCAGTAGAAGGCAACGAAAGTTTTCTTCTTGGTACCAGAAGATGCTTCTGACCGACTGGTGGGAGTCCCAGGTGTCGGGTACTTATAACGGGGTCTTGAGGTCCATTTCCAGACAACTGTGCTACCATTTACACCTGGAAGCATGCGTTTGGTGGTGATAATAAATATCTGGGACTCCCCTTAAGAACTGAGGAAGACTCTTGGATGAAGGTGAAACATCTTCAAGAACCAAAACAAGAACTCCAGCTGCTTTACGTTGGAGTTCTGACCATCTCCACTGACGTCTGCAGGACATTCTGACCATCCAGTACCAGGTGCCAGATGGATCATTACAGCAGGTAGTGAAGGAAACGTTCCCTATCATCAGTTTGCATCCTGTCTGCTTTGGCATAAACAAACTCAGGTGGGTTTGCACGCTTAGTTCGGCTCTTCTGGACTCGTGCACGCTGATTATTTTTTCACGATTTTGACACCTGATGCTATAAAATGACTGAGGTAGACTCACACTAACGTGGTCTGGTGTCTTCTGTGGCGTGGCGGACTCGTGGCTGCTGCTTTACACGGACTTTAAATGAGCTTCAAACTAATAATGCTTTTCTGTTTCAGTACGAGCAACACAACATGATTAGAGATTATTAGGCGACTTTTTTAATCTTTCAGGAATGCAAAGTCACTGAACTGATAAATCAGACATGTTGATGAAACAGAACAGAGGCATGTGTGTGCTACTGCTATGGAGACTGATCTAGTCTAGTCTTGCACTACGAGCTGCTGACGGTGAGCACGCTGGAGCTGCAGCCATTATAGAAGGAAGTCTTTGTGCAGCTCTCCAGCTCCTTAACGCTGGAGAGTGTGACCACAGAACAAAGCACGTTTTGGTAAAAACACTCTTCCAATTTTCATGAATAAATAAATGAATAAACACCCATAAGTGTGAACACTTCTACAATGGCTACACGTGAGGATCACATCACAGCTACAGTAGAGTGACCTACGAAGCATGCATCCCTCTGTGCGGCATTAGCTGAGCTGCTGCTTAACCCTCTGAACCCCGGCCAGTGTCTGGATGATTTGGTTTATTTCTTAATTTGCTCCTGTCGCATATTTGAATCCCTGCAGGATCATTTTTCACTGCAATATGAAGCCGTGCAGGAAACAGAACAACATGAATTAAGAAATGTCTTATTACTGCTTTAAAAGTCTAAAAAATAATAATAATAATAATAAAAAAAGCATCAGCATGTTTTCCAGTTATGTGTTACCAATACTGGAATAAGTGAGGCTTTCTACGCTACACATAGTTTATTTCTTTACCTGTTATTCTGCACATCAGCTCCAGAAAGATGCTTCACTGTGCAGAATGCATGATTCCAACAGCTCACTAACAAACTAGCTCCTCTCTGTACCATCTTTGAGCCATGCTGTGTTTATTTTATCGCATTAATATCCTTTTTTTTTGTTGCTGCTAAATCGCTCTAATTTGTTTTCATACTTGTCTCCTGCAGTTCAGCCGAAAAGTCTTTCATCAGCATTTTTATCAGCAGGTTTTCAAAAATATTTTTTTACAGAATATTTTTAGTTTTGGCAAAGTTTCAAATGAGGCATGTACAGTAAACTAATGTTGATGAAACGTTGTGATTTCAGGCTTTGATTTGGTTCATTTCTCCGGTTGAACTGCACATCACCCATGATTCATTCAGTTACAGATGATTCCCTCCGTTTGTTTTTATAGTTTCTGACTCTGACAAATGGTGTAATTTAGCAGATTTTTTAAAGGGTTCAGAGGGTTAAGCATGGTCTGCCCTGCAATGAGCATCATGCAGGCACACGGCGTAGCGTTAGTGTCATGCAGCGCTGGCACTGAACTCAGGAAGGGATGCCTGGACTGGCGTAAAGCATCGAAAGCAGAAAGAATTAGCATTCATTCAGCCATTCAAACACCACACGCCCGTTAGCATGGAGGCTAATCGTCAGGACAGCTCAGGGAGCCTCTAGAAAGACAAGATGGCGACAGGTTCAGGTACCTTCTTCAGCCTTTTTTGAGTTATACTTTTGTTTGTATCTATCTGGAACAGAGAAGACACAAAAGCAAACAAATAACGGAAAGACAGAACAAGACACAAAATGAGGATGAGATTCATTTGTCTGAGGCCCCGTCTATCCACAACCCCAGCAGCGGCTCATTCCCGGGGATTCTGCCCGAGGACGGAAGAGGCATGCTAGTCAGCTCTGGATTAGCAGCAAACTCTGTCTTCATGCTGCAGAGGAACTCTCAGGAACAGACAGAGAGACCGTTGAAGAGGTAGGAGAAAATCAATCTATCTTCTCTGCTCACAGCTTCTCCACTTTTAGAAAACGTTCATTAAGCACAAACTCATGGCACAGGATGACCAACGAAGCACAGAGGAGTTCAACCTTCTGCTCTCTTACTGTCACAGACGTAGGGTTTGTCCTGGTCGTCCACGTTCACGGGTTCTGTCCTCCTGCGGCTCGATCCTCTGCTCTGAAAGGAAACACAAACAAGGATTATTTTCACTTAATCGATTAGAAAAACGTCAAAGAATAGTTATGACCACAGCCCGGATGTATTCAGTTTACCGCCACAGAAAAGGAAAGACACCTGAAAACGTTTAAGAGGCTGCAAACAGAGAATCTACACTGGATTTCCTAAGAATTACTCAAAACAATTAATTTATTGGTTGGTGATTATTTTAGTAGTTGATGCCTAATTGATTAATCTAATAATAACATACAACCTGCATCCTGTGTGAGCTCTCTGTATGTTCATGAAATAAATCAATGACATTTGTACTTAATGTATATGTTGTAAACCAGCAAAAGCTACATATAAAAACCTTTAATCTATAATAATAATAATATATGTGTGTAATATGTATAATACTACATAATAAAAGGCCCAATCAGAATATGTTTTAGTGATGTCGATCATCTTATTGTGGGTAAAGGAGTTGATCTCAATTATCTGACTTGTTGTTTGATCTATAATATGTCTAAAATAATGTCTTCTAAACCTAAAAATATTCAGTTTGCTTTCATAGAGGAGGAAAGAAACCAGAAAATATACTTTTAAGAAGCTGCAATAAGAAAGTTTAGACAGTTTTTCTGAAAAAAAAAATACTCAGAAAACTGTAGCATGAGAAAACGAATATACAACACTCCACCATATTTACACATTTACTACAATGACAGCTACTAAACTATTATTAATTTTAGTAAAAAGACAAAAAAAATTCCATCTACTGTTTTTTTTACCCAGAGATTTCTAAACAAAACGGATTAATGGATTTACTAGTTGACAAGTGATGGATTAATTGATTCGTTCGTGCAGCTCTAATGAGACCGTCTTGTGAAACACACTCATATAAAACCCTTCTTTTTGTCTCTGGGACTCACTTTGCCTCTGTTTCTGTTCTTCCTCTTTGGAGTATCGAGTTCAAAGTCCTCGTCGTCCTGGAAACCGTCTCCGTTTTCCTCAGCTTCCAGGACTCTCTGCGGTGAAAACACACAGTCAGAAATAAAACAGGAGGTAAAATGGAAGAAACAGCCGACGGTATGAAAGGTTAGAAAGGAGGAGCCTGAGTTAGAAGCTCTGATGTAGTTTTAATTATCACACTGTGGTGATGCTGAGGACCGGAGGAGTCGACAGAATTCATCCACATCAACAGCAAAGAAGTGATTCAGCTCAAACCGTCTGAATACAAACTAATGTTCAATTACACATTTGCTCTTTTTTGTCTTTTGCGATGCACAAACCTGAGTGGACACTAAACATCAGCAGCAGCAGCACGGCTCTTTAAACATCTGCATCTGGTTCAGCTGGTGAAGCAGCATCATGACAGAGACTTCAATGAGGCTGATCGGCTTCAGACGAGCAAACAAATACTAAAACAAACTGAGCTACGAGAGAATTGTATTCATATGCACCACAAGAACATCTGATAACCACTATGTGCATCGTTTTGTTTTGGGGTTTTTTTTCCCTTTTTTGTGTAAATCGGTTGAAAATAAAGTATCAGGCAGAAGTTTTTGCGCGATCTCGTAGAATCAGACTGAGGACTTCCCCAGAGATGTCTAAACGTGGGTCATCAGAATCTTAAAAGATGGATTCTGGGATTTTCTGGGGTGCGTTTCTGAGTTTTTTTTTGCTAAAATCAGGTTTAGGACACAGATAAGGTAAATGTAGTCCTGTGATTTATATTTTTTAAAACAACAAGGGGTCATGATGAACTATACAGAAGATATTTATCACGTATCTGCCTGGAGAACAAAGCTCTGCTGTCCACGGATGTACCGAGGAGGCTGATTTAAGCTAAGATCTGCTGAGAAGCTAACTTCCTGTTAATTGTGTAGGTTCCTGCTTGGAGGCTGTCGTTTCCAGCATCAAGGCAAACAGGGAGCATGTTTAAATAAAGACCTGTATCTCCAGCAGGGTCTCCTCGTCCTTGCTGATGTTGTTCTTCTTCTCCAGCAGGTTGTCGGCTCTCAGCAGGGCCTCCAGCGCCGTGGCCTCCCCCGGCAGACCCTCACGCTTGGGGGCCAGTTCTGCTTCTGAAGAGGCAGAACACACAGAAAGGAACGCTTCAGGCGACTGGTGGATGCAAACCACAGGAAAAGGTGTGCAGCGACTGGTGTGCTTCAGATCGCAGGTTTTCTTCACAACTCGCTGTTCTAAATAGTTTTTTAAAAGTTTTAAAAAAGAAAGCAGTGAATTCCTCTAATGCTTCAAATACATTCATGCACAGATGAAAAAGACAAATCCAGTCTCAGAAAGCTCAGTTTAGGATGAACAGCCTGAAGTTGGACATGATAGACGGAGTTCTGGTGCCTCAGATACATCAACAAAAGATAATCCAGGTGCACGTAGGAAAGGAAATCAGCCCAACAGGTTCAGAAAACACTGCTTTAAAGCCCAACTGTTCTCCTTCTACTGTACATCTGACTTCATCTCTCTCCCTCTGCTCATTTCCGCAGAGATGAAGTCGCTGCAGCGCGACTCTCCGTCCTCCCTTTGAACTCTAATACCAGGATGAACCCGGAGTGAAGCAGCGATGTGATGAAGACGGTCGGCGGCGAACACGACTGCTGAGGCTGAACAGAGGGACGCCGTACGCCTCCATCCTCCTCCATCCTCCTCCGTCTTCCTCCATCCTCCTCCATCTCTCTGTATTTTGTTAACCTTGTGCAGTTTGCAACCAAGAAAAGTTAGAAGAATGAGCTTCTCCTTGGAAATTAAAGGTATTTTTAATCACTACTTGTTTAATAAAAGGTAGAATAAACAAGTTTTTAAGCTGATTGTGCACAAAAATTAAAGTTTTTCCCTGTTCCTTAAAAGATTTTTAAAAATTTGTTGCACCATATTTATGAAAACAAGTCCTACAGTTTTAAGCTTTTTCATGTTTTTGTTCATTTCTAGCTTTAATTAAATGTGTTCATCCAACAACATTATTACTAGGCAGTTCACTTCTTTAACTGTGATCTACTGATGTGTCTGAAGTGCTGCAGGAGCACCGGGAGCTGAGCATCGCTGCACAAGGAGACGACTTCAAAGCTGGTTTTTGATTTTTATCGGTGCAGTTTTAACATTTTTCAGCTCGTGCCTAACAGAAATAACATAAGGTGAATGTAAAGGCAACATTTTAAGAACTTAATAAAGTATTTTAGCCTTTACTGCTTCAATTCTGATCAATATTTCTGGTTCTGTTTCTCCTGAGTTCTGTAGACGGACCAAATATGAACGTGACTTAAAAAATGAGTCTTAAACTTGCAGTGTGGAAGCTTTGTCTCCCCCTTCTGGCAGTGAGAGTCATTACACAAACAGTGCTGATGTCTGATTACATCATATGGTTTGTTGTTGATCACTTTCTCCCTGAACTCCACCAGCAGATTAAAAAAACAGGCATGCTACTTTTACAAAATCGCCCAAAAGACGCCATTTATAAGAGCTGTAAGTGTAAAAACGGAGAAAATCATCAGATCTGAAGCTTCTCGACGGTTCTTATAACAACAATCATCTGTCATGCTGGTTCAGTCTTCTTTACTCTTCATTCTACATGTCTTGTTTTAAAAAAATGGCCAAAAATAAAACAGTCATTCTGACCAGATTCTGTAGAAAACAAAAAATTCTGCCCTCATCGGCACAACCAGGACAACATCTGCAACCAGCAGTCACACGACAAAGACTCCAGGAGTTTTCAGCTGAACTGCAGGCCGTGTTTCCACCGAGCACAGACGACTAATGTGTGTTAGTCAACTCAAACTGGAAGTAGTGAAATATTTATAATATAAAGAGCCAACATTTATTTTTTGTCCAGAATCGGTAACATGTGGGAAACATCTTTACATGTGGATTTTTACATTTTTTTACATAAATAATTCAACGTCAGTCTTTTTCTTTCTCCTTTTTTTTTTTTAAGTTTCATGTCATTCTAACTGTGTCAGTGTGAACAGACAACCTTTCTCTGTCTTCATGGTCGTGTTGTCTCCATAGAGCTGCAGGACTTTATATTGAGAACCTATATTACTGTGAACCTGTTTTGCTTGAATGCAACAGACGTGAATTCATATGTAAAAGTGTCTCATTCTAGCTATAAATGCACACTTATTGCCTTAAAATAAATGGTAAGCTGCACAAATACATCCAACAAATTGCATCTTTGGTCCAAAGCGTCACCACTTCATTCATCAGGAGGTGAAAAACAAGAAGCAAAAAGCAGGACTTCATCTCTTTTACAGTAACTGTGCGAGCGAGTCTGAGTGTTTCTGCACAAACCTTTTCAGTTCAGGAAGCATTAAATAAACATAAAGCTTTTGCAAAAAGCCCCAAGAGGGGAGAATTCACATTCCTGTGTCGTGTCATGATAGATATCTGGGCCAGAAAACTGCACAATTGGATGTCTGGAAAACAGAACGGAAGACTTCTACGGTTTCACTCGGAGCTGCAGAGCCTTCACAGCGCTTGTGAACTAAAGTGTGTCGCTAGTTTCCTTCTCGTTTTGTGCACTTTGGCTGGTTGGTCAGCTGCAGCTCTGGGGAGTTTCTCTGATTTATTCTTTTTTTTTTTTTCTTTTGCAGAAAACTCCTGAGTATTATATTGCGTCTGGAAGACAGCGAAAGGGGGGAAACAATGGTAGCAGCAGCACAGAAACAAAGACGTGCCTTTATTTCTCCCCCTTATCAGGTTGCCGGGGCATTCCGGCGCTAAAACCCCCCGTAACACACGTACTGTATGCACGCATGTAGAAACTCATAAGACTCACTTACATTGTAATGCCTCATGGACAAATGATTACAGAGGCCCAGTCAGGGTGCTTCAGCGCTGCGACGGGCAGCCGGAGTCATGTGTGGGGGTGTTTGTGTGCAGCCGCAGAACAGTGAGAGGAGGCATTGATTCAGGGGCAAGAATGAACCTGGAGACCTGGAGACGGCCTAACCGGAGCCAGATGGTCAGATAGGGAGCACTAAACGCCACGAGCTGTGTGCGCGGCTGCACAACAAGCAGGGATACGCGAGAAAAAGTGGGTTGAAAGCAAAAAAACAAAAGTGTGTTTACCTAGTCGCAGCTCGCACAGGCGGAGCTGAGGATCCAGAGGAGGGTGGAGCCGCCTCTTCTTTCTCCAGCAGCGAGCGGGGTAGGTGTACATCTGTCCTGCTGCTTGGCCTGGACACACACATACATGCATACATAGATGTAGAGACACAGGCGCACAGGAAGAATTTTAACAACCACTGGCAGGCTGGCCGTTTTAACAAACCTCGCATTGAGTCCCCGCAGAAACGCTCACAGAGGCCCGGCCTTGTTTCCCCGACACTTAATATGTCCTGATGTCAGCGCCGCTCTGGCCCTGCTCCATTTATTCAGACAAATCCTGCTCTTATGCTCAGATTCCAGACGCTGTTTATCACCCATGAGCTTGTTTTGCACGTCGGCCGGACCAAAATAAAAATCTAGTTTATTCATAAGAATATCGCCCAGGCGTTAATCATATTCCACTATTAGGCTGGTGGAGGTGGAGGGAGAGGGCTGATGTCTGCATGAAGAAGTCCAGGGAGGGAGTCCAGGGAGGGAGGGGGAGGGATAAACCCAGAATAAATGCATATAATGTGACTTAGGTCTGCCACAAAGTATAGGGTGTGGCCTGCAGGGCTTTGCATACAAGATGGAGAGGAGGCTATTTGTGTCCGGCTCTCGGTAAAGAGCAGATTGTTCCCTTTGGCTGTGCAGACGAACCAGATGTGCATAACGCGTTGTGACTGCTCGTTTCAGGACAAATCAGCAAGTGGGAGCTCATAAAATGTACAGAAAGAGGGCATGGATGGCTTTTTATCTACTGAGGGAGGGGATCTGTTGAGTTCATGCAGGCCGGACAGCGAGTCAGACGATCGATGCGACTCCAAGTAGCTTAGCTTAGCATAAAGACTGGAAGTGGGGGGAAACTGCTAGCCTGCTCCGGTCAAAGGTTGGACATTCAGTCGACCAGCGCCTCTACAGCTAAAGATGAACACGTCACGTCTCAGTGAACTCCTGGAGTCCTGACAAGCTCACGGTCACAACAGCTCTCGAGGAAAAGAGTCAAAAAGTGACTCCTACAAACTCCTATTTTAAATAAACAAGATATATTTAAGTAATTAGTCAGTCGTTGGCCCTTTTCTCAGCCTTGATTCTAATCTAATCTAATTACAGGCAAACAGATGTCTTGTATAGTTTCAATTTTTCGTCTATATTCAATCTAAGCTTTATGGTATATATTTGCAAAATAGTCCATTATGTTGGTGAACTTCCTGTTTCACTGCATGCATCAGCTGTCTGTGGACGTACCGTCTGAGTTTGGGGAGTTTCTGATCTTTATTCCCAGAGATACATGTGAGAAGTTTTCCCAGTTTTTTGTTGTTGGGAGGATCCAAATGTCATCCAAATGATCAACAGTAAAATGTTTTAATACAACCACCCAGCTCATGAAACAGACCTAATCATAGAAATAAAAACACGTGGTTGGGCTTTGTTGGACCTGAGCTGGAGGTATTTCTGAGATGTTGGCTGCAGCCTTGTGTCGAGATTCCCTTAAAGAAATGGACGTAACAGTTGTCAGGTCCTTCAGCGTTCCTCACCTGGCTGCCGCTGGCGCTTCTCCATCCAGATGTAGCAGTTGTTCTGAGCCACGCCGGTCTGAGAGTCGAGGAAGGGCATCCGGACGCTGCGCTCAGCGCACAGTCGAGCATTGTAGTTCCGACAGTGTTCGATGGCCTCCTGGTAGAACTGATCGCCGAGCCTGAACGCAGAAACGACAACAGTTAGACAGCGATCCTGCAATCTGATGGAAACTATTCAGACTCCAAGTTCACTTTTCACATGAACGTTGCATAAAGGCGTGTTTATAAACTCTGAAGCATGTTTCTGATGTGAGCTAAATGATTCTGTCTGTTGGGAAACGTCTAATGCTGGAAATATTACAGTAGAAATGGAAGAAAACCCCATTTTTCTCCCATTTAAAATGAGAAAATGACAAACATGGACCCACACAGGGCCGTCCAAGGCTGCAACTAACAATTATTTCCATCGTCAATTAATCTGTCGACCATTTTCCCAATTAATCGATCAGCTGTTTGGTCTCTAAAATGTCCAAACACAGTGAAAGATGTACAAAAAGTCGAAGTTCCATCCCCACAGGTCTGGTTTTTTCTACAATATTCACGTTTTTCAGATAATTCTTTACACTATTACTCAGACTGACAATCGATCATCAAACGAGTTGATTAATTTAGCAGCAGATAACTAACTGATGAGTTGTTTTGTGTATAAAATGACAGAAAATGGTGAAAAATGTCGACCGCTGTTTCCTCAAATGTCTTGTTTGGTCCACAACCCAAAGACATTCAGTTTACTGTCACAGAGGAGGAAGGAAACCAGAAAATATTCACATTTAAGAGGCTAAAACCAACCGGAGCTGGAGGATGCTAGGCGAGCGTTCTACTGTTAGAGCTAATCCTCCACAGAACAACCGCCAAATTACCAAAATAGTTGGCAATTAATTTGGTAGTTAGCAACTGAATGATTCATCTTTGCAGCTCTACTTGTGTCCTGGAGAAACCATGTCTGCTGCAGCATCAGTCTCAGCAGCACATGATTCTCCTGCAATCTTTAAACAGGAAGAAAACCAACGAGGATGATGAAGTTGGTGCTTCAGGAATCAGCGGATAAAAGTCTGAAGCAAAGATATATAATATACTCCAGCCAGAACAAACCTGGTTACCAGGTGCTAATATTTACCTTTTAACTGACTATCTACAGGTTTAACCCACCTCTCTACAAATCAGGCCAGCCTGTTCAGATTGAGGTGGTTAAATGAGGCTTTTCTATTCTGAGGGTTCAGACTGTGAGCTCTGTGCATGATGTGTTGTGACATGACAGGGTTGTGTATAAATAGCCCATATTCAGGCACGTATTCTGCATCGTTTCTGCTCATTTTAGGCCTTTTGCACGTCATTTTATGGACTTATAATAGCGTGCAAAATGATTAAGGTCATATTTTGAGGCTGCGTGGCGTGCAATAGAACGCCATCGTGTTTTGGCAACACGTGCTTTAACGGTACGGTTAGAAAACATGGCAGATAGACAGTCAGACAGACAGAACAGAACCACTGGAGAGGATTTTACAGTAATATTTACTCGTATAGCTCACTGCTTCATTCATTTAACATCTGAACTGAAAAACATTTCTTCTGCTTTTCGTCTGTCGAATCCTTGAAACATGTTTTGACCCCTAATAGCAGTAACATGTGCTGGTGATTTGGGATTATCTGGAAATCTCAGTTTGCTGCGTTACAGTCTGCTGCAGACATCAGAGCGTCGATGGGAGTCGAGCTCACGAGAAAAGAAACGAGTCGATGAAGAAGTGAGTACAGACACGTCATGGAGGGGCAGGTGGGTAGAAATCATCAATACTGTCCACAGAGGCAGGATCTCTGAGATCATCTGACACACAGCAAAAGATCTTAAAAAGCCAACTGGTTTCTCAACACTGTCATCATTCAACCCAGTGAAACCAGTGACAGGGAGGCTGGTTCCAGTAGCTCCACTGTGACTGCTGGCTGCTGTGTTTCTGCAGACGTCTTCCTGCCCATCGCCGGCTCTGTGGATCCTCTGCACAGATATGTAAAGAATGCCAAGCTGGACAAAGACCAGCGCTCTGGTCACACTGAATCTCACAAAGATGTGCAGTGTTTGGAGACGGAGGAAGAGGATGATGATGGAGGAGGGGAAGGGAGGAGGAAGGGTGAGGGAGCAGCAAGGACAGCAGCAGGTATTAAATGTAGAAGATGATGGAGGATAGAAGGAGTGTTACATCAGCGTGAAGTTTGTTTTTGACATTTGGCTGTAACTGATGATGAAGTAATTGGATACCGTGTGCTGCACAACACTTCAATCTCTTTTAAATGCTCCCTGACGAGAGGAAACGCAGCGAAATAATGATTCTGAGGGATTTAAAATCACTCCAAACTGTATTAAAGCGATGAAGATGTGGTTGTATTTTCACCAGTGGACAAAAAAAAAAAAGCTGCAGGAGAAGCTTTTTAATCTGATCAGCGGCGCAGAAAAATGACTTCATGTCACCTCTTTAGACTAACAGACAACCGGCGAGGATTCCAATAAATCTTTACTCTGAAACGTAATCCAAGGAACCTGCTCGCCTGAAGAGACTGAACATGGATTCAGAAAGAACGAATTTACTATTTACATTTTCATTCCCTCTACAAACCAGAGAGTTTTCACTTTGCTGTCACATGAGCTGTGGACGGATGTTTCACCATCTTGCTCCTCTGTTCACCACTTTTGAGCCACGCTGCATTTATTTCATTGCTCAGATCTTCCTAACTTTGCTCCTAATCCTCTAACTTGTTTCATCCTTATCTTCTGTGTCCACGTAAACACAGCCTGCAGTTCAAGCAAATACTCTCATCGTTGTGTCAGCTGCACTACGGAGTGCAGAATTTAGCATTTTGTAACGTTATCGGGTCAGAACAGGGTTTATTTTTTGAAAATATTACAATTAAACATGTAAAATAAAGTGACTTTGATTAAATATTCTGTTTTCAAACTTAGATTTGGTTCATGTTTTACACAAAGTTAAGTTTTAATGTTCAAAATCCAACAATTCCATCTGTTCTTACAGTTCTTAGCTGAGAAAAACAGTGCCGATTGCTCTTCTGTTCACCACTTTTGAGCCACGCTGCATTTATTTCATTGCTCAAATCTTCCTAACTTTGCTCTTAATCCTTCTAACTCGTTTCATCCTTATCTTCTGTCTCCACATAAACACAGCCTGCAGTTCAAGCAAATACTCAACATACTAAAAGTCCAACAATTCCATGTTTTTGCATATCCTAGCTGTGAAAAACGGTGCAAATTTTGTCGATTTCTTTTAAAAACACAACATGCCGTTCGAGCTGCTGCTGGTTTTTGGGGTTCAGAGGGTTAACGGATAGAAAAACAGTCTGCAGCCTCAGAGGCCGACATGTAAAAACTCTGCGTGCACCCTCAGTGCCGTGGCGCATGCACAACGTCTGGCTTCAGACGCATGTGTCAGCGCAGCGCAGCCACAGAAACGAGGAATGCAGCTGGTGCTTTGGGTGACACGTGCTTTTTTTACAGTACGAACTGGAATCTGCACCAACTGGCATCCCCGGAGGCGAAGCGTCGTCTCCACTGGACCTCTTCCTCAGCATCATCCTCTGCTCGTTGGTCCCATTTCCACCGACAGTCCCGCGGGCAGCTTCGTAAACTCTTACATAAGTGAGCGTTTCGTGCCGGCTCGTCGGCCTGCCGTGCACGCCTTCATCACGTGAGAGCGAAGCGACAGCGTTCGCCTGGCAGAGCATCTCGGAGGCGTCCTGACCGAGCCGTCGCAGGCCGCTGCCGTTTAGCTGCACGGCTGCTTATGTAAGTTTTGCATGTCGGGGAAACACATTCCTGTTGGAGAGCAGCTTCCTGGATACTGATGGAATCTGCAGTTGTGTGTTTTGTGTGTGTGTGTGTGTGTGTGTGTGTGTGTGTCTGCTGCGATTGTACAGCACAACAGAGGAGGGTTGTGTGTGTGTGTGACGGGCAAAGCTCAGGTTGAAGTCTACAGGTAGGAGCTGATAGGGGCAGAGAGGTGCTTTAATCTTATTTGTTTTCTCAGCTGAATTCATTAAACACTTGAACATTCAAACTTACACTCGCATGAATAATTCTCCTCAGAACCAGCTGATTCTTCATCTACAGTAACTTCAGTTTATTTAATGGAGCCATGCAACGTTTTAACCTTCATACTGTGAATATTTTCAGAGTTACAGGACCCTGACGTACAACATGATGCATTTTTCCATCATATCTGAGCCTCAGAACTTCATCAGTGCAGCAGAAAGACACACGATTAAAACACATCTGAGTTCTGGTAGAACCTGACACCAGATCAGCTCAAGGTGTCACAATCTGAAGACGCCATCTGCTTTTTGTTCTGCACAGTTGTCTCTATAAGCATCAGTATTATGGGATGTGTCACAGTGGTAACAGTCAGACTGCAGCAGTTTAACGTCTACGACAGAACCAGTCATCGGTACCCTGAATGTGGTTCCGGTTCTGATCATTCACCAGAGAAAACTCTACAAAGTGCATTCTGGGTAAACTGTCCAGGCTCATATCAGCATGTGTGGTGGTGGTTGGTCAGAACCAGTTCTAGACGATGGAAGGACCGTTCTACCTCCAGAAGATACCAGCTGATCATCTAATGGACATGAATCTTCTTGGATTTCAAGTCATTTTGGGGAAGCTCTGGTCATTTTGGACAGACTTGCAATTTTGGAAAAGTTTTGAGTCATTCTAGACTTTTTTTTTGGAGAAGTTTCAAGACCTTTCAGACACGTTTTGAACAGTTTTTGGCACATTTAGGATCACTTTGGACAGGGGGGAACTCTACAAAGTGCATTCTGGGTAAACTGTCCAGGCTCATATCAGCATGTGTGACGGTGGTTGGTCAGAACACATTATAACAAATGAAAGGTCTCATTTTTACCAACATTTGCTTTCAGGATCATCTTCTAGACACGATTCCTTCTGCAGTAAAGCATGTTTTTGATATAGTCGTACTGTAGCACTCGTGAATGTAATTTCTGGTTGTGAGATGCAGAAACAACTTCCTGAAACAATGTCCCTGAGGTTTTACACCGAAGGGATCAATAAAGTTTTATTCTGTTCTATTCTGTTTTATCGAACAGTTTAATCTCGTCGATG